ATATCATGAAGAGTTTAATGAACACTTGATTGTTAGAGAAATATGTTAAAATATCGGGTGACTAGATGGGAATTAAGATCATTTTTCTTTAAGAGGATGATGAAATATGATTCTAAAACACCATATGTGAATGCTTTCATATCTCAATTTACGATATTGGATTGATTTTCCATCAAATTATGTATTTGATATGATATGTCCAAGAAATTATTATGTGTGGTTTCTTAATTTATTTATGATCAGTTAATTAATTACACATATGCATTATACATGTCTAGTTTGGACCATATGAGTTGACCATCAAAGAGGTTATTCATTTGTGAAAATATAAATATATTAAGATTGTTTTTCTACTCCTACAAGATATACAACAAGTGAGAAAATGTGTTTAGATCCAAAAGATATGTATAGAGAAGATGTTTCAAAATATTATACGAAAGTAATGATTCATATATAGTCTAGTCGTAAGAGCATATCAAAATCAAAAAAAATTGACACAAAGGCATCGGCAATAACAATAATCAAAAAATTGACACATAAGTTATGGCACAATAACTCAAGAAAACTTAAGAACAAAGAGTGATATCGTCATTAGGGGAGTAAAAGTTTTGCTGTTCTCTTTTTTCCTTAACTAAGATTTTGTCCCACTGGGTTTTTTTGGTAAGATTTTTAATGAGACAACTTCAATAAATATGACAATACTATGTACTCTTTTTCCTTTATTAAGTTTTTGTTCCATTGGATTTTTCTTAGTAAGGATTTAATGATGCACAATATCTGGACATATAAGGGGGAGTGTTATGAATATTAAGGGGCTGTTTGAAACTATTTTTATTTTATTATTCTAAAAACTGATGTTCTGTAAAACATGTTCTGAGAACAAAAAAAATAATAAAAATAAGTTCTTTTTCATTCTTCCTTATTCTCCAGAACAATAATCACAGAACACTTAAAAGTTATTTTCATTTTTCTGTTCTCCATAACAATATTTTGTTTTTTCGTTCTCCAAAACACTTTTGGAAAACATATTACCAAACAAGTTTTTTCGTTCCTTTGTTCTAGAGAACAGAAAACTATTTCCAGAATAGGTTGCCAAATAGGCCCTAAGATATTATGTTGATATCCATTATCTCATATTCTCTAATATGTTTCAATTCCTATAATATCTTTCAATTATTATTATCTTGTATATTTTATTTACTTTAATTAATATTTTTATGCTTATAAATAGAAGACACCTTAGTTGTGTTCCATACATCAAAATAAGAAAGCTCTTTATTCTCTAATTCTCTCAATATATTTTTCTCTCGTTCTCTCCTCTTCCCAATCTCTATTTTCAAAACATTTTCTAAATTCTAAGCCTATCAAGTCATCATCAATTTTAAGACCAGCGAGTACACGATTGCTTTGAATCTGGTGACTAATTTTCTTAGATGATTGTCAATTTTATTGCATTCACACTTGGATCAAAACCACCAGGGTCTTGGGTTGAATGCAAATGATGATGCTTAGGGTTTATTTGGATAATCTTCAAAAGTATATTCAAACCACATTTGGGATGTGTTTTTACTAAATCCAACAAATAGTTGAATCCTCTCCAAATAGACTTTTACCAAATGTAAATTAAAAACCAAACATACATTTAGTTTCTACACATATTCGATTCCAAAGCCTATATGCCAGTGCATTGATGAGCACACCACATCAGCCTTGATTTTATCCTCAATTAATCTCTATTGTCCATTTTAAATTTGTTATTTAGTATTTTTAATATTGTATTACTAAAATAAAAATCTATAAAAAATATGAAAATCTTGATATTAAATATATACTATCCAGAGTAAATATAGATAGTTAATTTATAAAAATTATAAAAAAAATTAATATTAAATTAGGTTGTCCAGGTTATATCTATATTATGTAGAATATATATGGATATTCAATTTATAAAAGTATAAAAAATTTTAAAATTAAATTAGATAATTCAAATTAAATTTGCAATAGCCAAATTGATTATAAATAAATTTATTAAAAAATTTGTAATTTTTATTTTGATAAGTATAAAATAAAAATAAAAATTTTTAAATTTGGACAATCTAGATCTCATTAATTGAAATGAGTAACATGGTACTCATATCCCACTGAGCCTAGAAGATAATTCATATTTAATATTAAGATTTTTTTATAAATTTTTATTTTAATAATATAACATTAAAAATAATGGAAAAAATAAATTTAAAATGAACGGCACAGATCACATGATGATAAAATTAAGGGCTCAGATGAGCCCTTGAGATGATGAGCACTCCCTCATCAGCAGACGCGAGCCTATATATTATTTTGATGACTTCTCAACCCTCTTTTGGAGCCATTCGAAAGCAAACATAAGACAAAAAATTTAAGGAAAAGTATCATCTAAGAACCCCTCTAGTGTTTTAATAGTAAAGAATAACCTTAAAAATCTAAGATATCACTACATCCCACGAGACTTATCTGAAAATAAGATTTTAGGGGATCGGAAGAGGCGTAATTATCCTTGTAACCTTTTACAAGTCTTGCTTAGATATAAGCAACAAAGCATTTGGCTATTGACAAATTATCACACATAATTAATAAGTGAATATTTGCTCATGACAAGTTACAAAAACCTACCCAGTTTAATTTTACAAGTTTTGCTCTGGTATAAACAATATACCAAGCCTATAAATTTTTATAACTTGTTCATGGACAATTGTTCGCTTGTTAATAATATATAGTAACTTGTCAATAGCCAAATATTCTATTGTTCATATCGAAACAAGACTTGTAAAATGTTACAGGGGTAATTAAGCCTTTTCTCCTAAAATCTTATTATCCTTCTTTGATATTAAAATGCCACAGGGGTCCTTAGATAATATTTTATCAAAACTTAATGTTAATAAGCAAAAATTATTTTTGAAGAAAGAAAATACGAAGTACACATATTTCATTTTTTTTCCGAACCACTTTCATCATTTTTTTAAAAATATTTTCACGTACCAAATACATTATTCGAAATACTCGCTCAGTTTTTTATTGTAAGAAAATTTTCATATGCATGTCTCATTGTTTTTTTATAAGCAAAACTATAAATTTTAAGAAGCATTTATCAAAATTTTTTAATGTGTCTCTCATAAAGCCAATGTTTAATTTCACGAAATAAATTTGTTACATCAATTATAGAAATAATTCAGTCCATTTTTTTGAATTTCAAATATAATTATTACACTTAATTAATTATTTTAAACGTGAGCAGATTATATATTTGAAAATATTATAAACATATAGGGTATTCTTTTCCATTGACATACAGCATGTCCTCGAAAGCTTCCTATATTTTTTTGGCCAAAATCAAAAGCTTTAATTTTTTTTTTAAAGAAAAGTTAATATCTGGAGGCCCAATGAATCTGGCTACAAACTAAAATAGGAAGACAGTGCAAGATACAACGAACACAAATACAACAAACTGAAACTAAAGCTGCAGTCCATGAAAACCAAAGTCAGCATACTCTGTTTTTGCATCCAAAAATGAGAGGAAGTTTCCGTTTGCATGCGCCACTGAGAACTATATGACGAGAATGGGATGTGGATCCTCTCAGCATCCCTGTTTCTCAGCGTCCCTCAGCGTCTCAATTCTGTCCCTTAGATCTGTATCCAATACTCCATACTTTGCCACATCATTTTATATTAAAATAATTTAATTTTAAAAAATAATTTTTGGTTTAGATTTTTTTTATTTTCTATTTTCAAAACTTATTCTAAAAATTTATTTTACAGATTTTTGTAAAGAAATTTACAGTCTCACTTATTTAAACTTTGGCCTAATCTATTTAATAGAAAATTATTTAAAAAAACCTACAAAGGAAGCATTGAAATTTTGGCTCGACCTTGTTCTAAAAATTTTTCTTTAGATTTTTTAAGTATATTTTTATTAAGTAAGTTAGGCTAGAGTTTGAAAAAGCTAGACTTTAGGTCTCTACTTAAACAAGTCAAGCCAAAATTTGAATAAATTAGACTGCAACCTTACTCTATAGATTTTTTTTAAATAGATTTTTATTAAATATGTCAAGCTAGAATTTAAATAAGTTAGACTGTAGGTCTCTATGCAATAATATACAAAGTAATTTTTTGAAATAAGTTTTGAAAATAGAAAATGGAAAAAAAACATCTAAAGAAAGAATTATTTTTTTAAAATTAAATTATTTTAATATAGAATGATGTGGCATAGTCTGGAACATTGGATACAAATCTAAGGGCCAAAATTGAGACGCTGAGGAACGTTGAGAAACAATGACGCTGAGAGGATCCAGATCCGACGAGAATGAGTGTTAGTGCATGCCACGAAGCCAAGTTCTCACTTGAAAATAATCATACATGCTACTTTCGCTTTTTATATAAGCAAAACTTTCATATGATTGGTCTAACGTTTTTATTAGCAAAACATTAATTTTTGAGAAATATGCATGATATCATTTTTAAATTGTATTTAAATTATAAAAAAGGCTATCAATTTTTTTAAAAAAAAAATATGACTTATATCTAGAAATGAGAGATGACTCTACATACAACTACCACTTAAAGTTAGGCACGGATACTTTAGATTTTGTGAGATATATATATATATATATATATATTGTATCTCTCGTAGCGTTCCAGGTGTTGGTCATTGTTGTCATTTTATCATACGTCTCTCAAGCGGAATGAGCACAGATGGACGATACTATAATATAATGTGTCGGTTTCTGACAAAATGAGAATAGGCATGTCATGACCAAAAAGGCTAAGTTTCCTGAACAGCCGAAGCTCCTCTTTAACAAAAAAGAAACAGCATAGAATATCAAGCTAAAAATCCAACAAGATCATTGAATGTTCTCAACTTATGTTTTATTTTTCTAGATTACTGTAGCATGCATACAAGAAATGAGAACAATATATTACAAATATTGTGCAATAACCACAAACATACAATACAATAACTATAATTAGTTTTTGCGTGAGTGCGAAAGTGACATACTTGGTGAAACATTATCACCAGGAGTTGTAGTGAAACCAGAAGAGATTGTGTTGGAACTACAGCTTATATTCTGGTTTTGACTTACCTCTGAAGCATTGGAGCTGGACAGAATGGAAAATGATGCTGGAAATTCATTATACGTTAGTATGGGATAAGTTGAAGGAAGATTAGGAAATGGAGTTTCAAAGTTAAGCACATTAATAGCTTGCCGTATTGAAGGCCTCCGAGCATGATCAGGTTGAGCACAGAACAGCCCAACAATCATTAAGCATTTGATTTGATCCTGGTCGAAATCTCCTTCTAGTCTTGAATCAACTGCTTCGAGAATTCTCCCCCCTCCATAGAGATCCCATACCCATTTGACTATGTTTATTTCATTTTCTGGAGCCTCAGGTTTGATTGGTTTTCTTCCACAAGCTATCTCCAAAGCAACGATTCCAAAACTGTATACATCAGTTTCTTTACTCGCCCTCCCAGTTGTGACAGATTCAGGAGCCATATAGCCCATAGTTCCTGCCAAAGCTGTAGTTTGTGCTCCTTTTGTATGGTCTACAAGTCTTGCTAACCCGAAATCTCCAAGCTTTGCATTGAAGTTGGAGTCCAGCATGACGTTGCTTGATTTTATGTCTCGATGAACCACACATTGTTCCCATTCTTCATGCAGGTACAATAATGCAGAGGCCAAGCCTTGAGCTATTTTAAATCTAATTGACCATGTTAGCAACCTTTTGTTCTTAAAGAGATGAGAATCTAAATTTCCATTTGGCATATACTCATAAACCAGCAATAGTTCTTTCCTTTCATGACACCAACCGATTAACTGCACCAAGTTTCGGTGCCTTAGTTGACTAACAATTCGTACTTCTGAAGCAAACTCCTTCTTTCCTTGGTTAGAACCCTCTGATATTCTCTTTATGGCGACATAGGAGTTTGAATCTTTGAGAAAACCTCTATAGACACCGCCAAATCCTCCCTCTCCAAGCTTCTGATCATCTTTGAAATAATTTGCAGCTCTTGCTAGTTCAGCATATGAGTACTTTTTGGGCCCAGTTCCTCCTTCAAAACCATCACTCATGTCTTCATTAGACCCCTCATCATCCCTTTTCTTTTTGTTCTTCCACAAGACAAACAATACCACCCCACAAACAAAAACCAACCCTCCAACGCCTAATCCTATTGCAAGTGCGGTGGCATTTCTACCTTTTTGGCTCATGCTTGGGCTTGGGTTAGAGTTCAGACTTGGCCTTGGACTAGGATTGGGACTGGGACTGGGAGTGGGAGCAACATTTGGGAGCTCCTCTGAGTAGAAACTCCATGTATTGATCCTATGTGTTGCAAATAATTGTCCTGTGGCAGCTGAGAAACCAAAAGCAACCCATTCAGGCAGGTACAGTCGTAGGTCAACTATTTGGTGAAGATGTTGCCACCTAATGTTGTTGTTATGAAAACCAGTGAACGAGATGCTTAAATTATGTGTACTTGAATTGTAGCTGATGAAAGCCTCATTAGTTCTCCCTCCTGTGATGTTAGCATCCCATGCCACTGTACTCATAGATCTAATCGAATCGACATCGACCCCCACATGAACGAACGAAGGATCCCAGCCATCATAATATTCGATGTTGGGAAAGATATCAAACTCCACAGCAACAAAGGGATGATCTATTGAATTAAGCATCGTTTCCGGACCACCAATAATCAGACCCATAGCACCTCCTCCCACTTTTGGCATATTAGGAAGCTTTGAATCAATGGGGGCTAGGAAGAAGGCCATCCCATCTCCAAACTGTTTTTCACCCCCTGAATCAATCACAAAGGTAAAATTGGTGGAGAAATCTGTGAGTTTCCCGGATGCTTTATCCCACAAGTGCATCGGTTGGCCATAAGTGGCTCGACCAGCAGTGTCATTGTTCCGGGTTACCAAGTCGATGGATGTTCCTACGAGGCGAGCAGATTTTTCAAATGATATTCTGTCTTCGTCCTGGAAATTGGTGAAGCTGAAGTTTAAGGAAAGAACATGGGGTATCAAGAGGAAGAAAACTGGTGCTAGCAACATCTTCACCTGAACATTATTCTTCTCAATCTTTTCTGGGCGAGATGTTCATGGAGACGAAGAAATCAAGAGGCTTGGAAGTTTTTTTTTTCCCCCCCTTCTTTCTCTAGTTTTTCTTCTGTCTTTATCTGCCATTTTTTCTTTCTTTTTCTTTTTTCTTTTTCCTTCGTGTCCTTGCTTTTCTAAAGTAGGTCCCATTAGGGAGGGAAAGTCATCAAATGTGAATACTGAAGTTCAGCCATTGACTACTGCGTGCCTTTCACGAGTCAATGGCTGTGTCTGTCACTTCAACTGGTTCCTTTTTCTTCAAGGCCTGTACAATAATAGTCTGATAAGTGCGTATTTTGAATTATATTTGAGAAAATTTATTAATATTTTATATTTATTTAATTAATTTATATTTGTTTCTTATTATTTAATTATAAGATAAAAAATTTTGACACAAAATGTACACATAACTCTTTTTTTAATTAGGCAGAAAAAAGAATAATTCAAATTGAAGTAAAGAAACGAAAGAAAAGGAAGAGAGGAGAAAATCTAATAAATTAATAAATAAAGTAAAAAAAAATTAACATTTGTTGATGGTGTTTTTGGGTCAAATTGAGTGAACAAATCTTGTAAAGGATTCATAAGTCAAGTTAAGTAATTAATAAATTTTGTTGATAAATTAACAAATAAAATTATGAACTTAACAAGTAATGTTGTTAAGATTACGGAATCACATAATTAACTAGTTAATCATTTAGTAAGCACTGTTAAGTAATTAACAGGTACAAGTAAGTAGTTAACAAGTAAAGTTATATGGTAATCAACTATCTGTTAATTTTTTTGAAGGGCATTTCAATATTTTTAGCCACTTATTTTATTTCAATTGAATCTAAAAATTCTGCTGAGAATTTTCAAATGTTTTCGGATCTACAAGTAAATATCTCCCTTTCATGATTCTCGACTGAAATTTCCGCAAAAAGAAAAGGAAAAAAAAAAAGGGTGCATGTCCCCCGTTGAGGATTGAAGATTGCTAATGCTACAGCTGCCATTGACTGGATATTGATTTTAAAGTTAAATTAAAATGCTATAATTAGAAGAAATTGAATTGCAAAATATAAAAAAGGATTAGAATTCCTAGAGTTGTTGATCTTACATCTAATATATTCTTTGACTTATTTTATTTTATTCATTTTTATTTAATAAAAACTTTATTTTTTATTGGATAACTTGATTGAGACAAAAATTGTAAGGTCTCCCTTATTAATTCATATTTAACTCCAAGATTCAAGATAATCACAAGAATAACCCAAATGAATTATTAAGTTTGTAAAATTTATATAAATGAGATCCCAAATTTTTAAAACTTAACATGCTAAAAAAAATCATTTCACAAACAAAAATTAGAGGAAAATATGTATACAGAAGTATAGATATCATACAAAGTAAGATAATACCAAATTAGGGATAAAAGGCAAAAAAATTGATTCTGGCACAATTATACGGTAGCATAAAATTTTATGCTGCGGCATAAAATACAGAAACCCATAATAGCCAAAAAAACTATCATGGCAAATTTCTAACCAAACTTCTAATGCATTTCAATTCTTTATCGGACGTTCGATTAAAGTGATATAGATATCTACAGAAGGCTTTCTCTAAGCTCTAATTAATGGCACTAGCTTAACATTCAAATCATTTCTCAATCAAAAATTAAACACTAAAATGCAAACTTATCCATTTATACTTTCAAAACATAAATAGGGTGTCCAAAATTACAACCAAGTGCTATAAGCTTATAACCATACCTAGACCACACTTAATAAATCATATAGGACTCGTGCAAAACACCACACTCAACCAAAAACATATATATTACAAATTTACCACTTGACTGCATAACACATAAAACACAACAAGGAGGAATTTCTTGCACAAGATAATCATTTTCATTCTAAACTAGTCAAAATACACATATTCCTACTTGCACAAGTATTTTGGCCCTATACTAGAGTTTATAACCAAAATTCACTAACTCAAGATATAAAATATACAAGTATGATACAAAAATATTTATGTGAATCCTAGTTGGCAAGTTAACAATCTTAGTCTACATAAAACAACATAAAGATGCATACAAAGAATTGCTCTACAATCCTATGCCTCAACACATTTTTTTTCAATCTTGATCCAATAAGCTAGGCCTTAAAAATATTGAGAATTGAGGAATAAGTACAACCACTCAATAAGCAAGTTTCACCTAATCTATACAGTTGCATATCAATTGAAAACAGATGCAATTGGCAATAAACACACACATAAAACATGTATGACAATGTATAGCCCCAGCCACAATAATAACAACTATGTAACCGGGTTTCAAACATATAGTCATATATATATATATATATATATCAATAATGCACAACTTGGGGTCATGATAATACCAACCATGTGCCATTAAACCGTACTAGACCACAATACTAATAACCATATGACCGGGACTAAATGCATGATTATATGCTAACCTTATACCCTCCTGTTACTTCCAACATGAAACTAGTGGCTACATCCTTCATGGACTAACCCACCCTTCCACTTATGAAGAACTACCGAGCGAGGGTTAACTCACTCACTTGTGTAATCCGGTTCCCCCAATATTAACAACCATAGAGTGTTATACCCCTAATCTAACCCCCTCATGAATTAGTAAAAACTAGTTAGGTTTGAATCCCTCATAGAATAACTGGGATAGTCTTAAATTAATCATAGGACAAAGGCTACCTCTCAATTTCAACAGTCGATGTTAAGGCAAGCTCTCAATTTCAACGATTGCTGCCAATACCACATGGGTTTTATCAACTACTACTCTCCTTAGGGGAACTCCCACTAATAATCATGCTATGCATATATATCACATATGTATATGCATTCTAATCAACCATTCATATTATGAATTCACATATCCATATTCACACCCAACTCACTCCATACACTAACTAGTACATAGTCACAATTTCTCATTCATCATCACTATTAGCATGTATATGAACATACATATAATTTGCAATAATAATACATCACCAACCTTGCCAAATTTGCATAAAGAGTTTAAAAAATATTAGACATATTTCAAATCATCCATTTTAACAAATAATCAATTAATATTCAACTATATAAACTAGGTCTTCCTCAGTTACCTTAAATTTTTAAGAGGTTAAAGATTTATCTCTCAATAAAAGTTTTTCACAAGCTATAACAAAGCTTAAATGGTGTACAAAATGATTGATTTATAATTAATTATACCAATTATCATTAAAATCATCATAAACAATCTTCTAACTTCTATAAATCAACACTTTAATTACCCAAAATTTCAATCTCTTGCATTTAAACATAACCATTAGGTTCATTAACTCCCATTAACTCTATTTAGTTTCTATTAACATAAATAATCACTAATATAACACCCAACAATTTAAAATCACACTTTAAAGGTCTAGGGTTCATCCAAAATGGATGACCCAAGTTTACAACCTTGTAAAAACTTCTAAACTAAATGTAGAATACTTAAACAACTCCTAGTAGTCCTATTTAGACTAATGAGTTCAGACTCATAGCCTTAAATTCAAAAATCATCATCTCTCAACCTTAAATCTCACTTTAAAAACATGTAGAGGAAAGAAGAAAAGATAAAGAAGGCATATTTAGGTGATACCAAGCTTCAAACACCTTTAAAATGCCCTAAAGTTGATGTTCTAACAGAGAAAACACTCCCTTAGTCACCCTTCTTTGTTTCAGATCTCACTCTCTATTTTTTGAACTAATTTACCGTTTTTAAAAAAAGAAACTTGTTTAGAAAATTATGTTGTGGCATAAATTTTTATACGCAACATAACGCATAGTGCCTAAAAAATCTAATTTTTCTCTACAATTTGAACTCAAATGACCTAATTCACTTTTGAATTCAATTTAAAAGCTAAATCCAAACCCAATAGCTATCTCTAACTATCCTCAAATCCAATTATACTTAAATTTTCATAATTATCCTTCATTAGATTAATAAGTCATGGAAATTTTTTTTAAGATGTTACAAAAATCACTTTCATTTGTGCCAATTCTTTTTAATTACTTTCTTGTAAGATGATCTTGATTCACTATATTATGATAGATTTGTATGCGATGTGTTTCAAATTTTGTGCGCACCATAATCCTTCAAATGGTTCCCCCACATTCAAATTTTTATTATGCTTGATATGAGGTTTTAATTCAAATATGAGGTTTTACTTTGATGCTACTAATTATGCTTGAGTAATCTATAATCTGATGAAATTCCAGTTGCTTATTAGTACTTGTGAAAACGACAATTAGAGATCTGGCAAAGATATTAATAATAATTGAAGACCTTGAATTATTGAAATGTCATGGAAGGATCATGATATTTATTTGTAATAAATAAATAAATAATTATTAAAATAACTAATGGAATGTGACTCATGAATTTAAGTAAAGTTAATTATAAATTTAGGTAACTATAAATTAACGAAAAGTCAATTGTAAATAGATAGATAGTTTTATGAATTGATATATTATCACCCATGAATTTAATCAAGGATACAGTTACTTGTGAATTTTATGAAGGATAATAGTAAATTTATGGGACTTTAATTGTGAATAAATATATAATTTTATGAATTCATGCATAGCTTATTATTCATGGATAATCAATTGTAAATTTAGGGAACGTTATCTTTGAATATACAAAATGTCAATTGTGAATAAATGTTAATAGTTTTAATTGTAAATTAATAATTAAGGAACCCCTCATGTTTTTAAATATATATTTACATATGACTTATCATACACTTATAAATAACTTTTCAAAAACTCACAAGTAGTTCTCCTTAAATTCACAAGCGACAATAGCTTTACTTACAATTAACTTTTGATATATTCACAAGTATTTTTTTAAATTAAAAAATAACTTTTCTTAAATTCGTAAGTGGTATGTTATTTTGATAATTAAAAATATTTGAATTACAAA